CACACACACACACACACACACACACACACGCGCGCGCGCGCGCGCGCATGCACGCGAACACATGCGCACTCTCTCTCTCTCATCGTTCCAAGACCACAAAAAATGAAAGCAACACACACGAATAACAAACTCACCGTTAGTCATCAAGGTGCGGTAGTTCGAAAGCCTTGCTGCTGCGCAGCTCAAGCCTCAGCGTCCAACATTCAGAATGTAGAGATGGTGTGTCCTGGGTGAGTGTGTGTTTGTGTGTGTGTGCAAGTCTGCGTATGTGTGAGTGTTGTTATGTTCGCTATACAGAACTCACAACATGACTCAGCCAGACTGTTTCGTCAGACTTCCACCGACTCATCAGGAGGTTGAACCCCGACAGTCCGCCCTTGATGAACTGTACGGATGGCCCAGGACTCACCACTTTTGCGTGTACGTGTTTGTGTGTGTGGGGGAGTGTGTGTGTGTGAGTGTGTGTGTGCGTGCCTGTGCATGCGTGTGCGTGTGTGAGTGCACGTGTGCGGGTGCGCGTGTCCAGCGTAGAGCGAAGTCGTAGTCGTGCATAGCAGCGTAGAAGTCAGTCGAGTAGCTTGAGTGTCGAAAACAGGCGTAAACTCTAGAGTAGCGTAGCGTAGCTCAGTCGAGTAGCTTTGTTGAACAGGCGTCGACTCTAACTCCCCGTCCAGTATACCTGCCCTCAAGTCCGCAGTGCGCGTGCTCCAGACAGTAGTTTCTATACGTTGTAGCAGCGCTGGACTGGTAGCGCGTCACGCGCAACCCCGGTACCGCGTGCGGTAGGGCTGGTAACACGCTTTGGTACCGGCGCTGGCGCGTGGGCCCGGTACAGGCCCTGGCGCGGAGCCGCCCGCGACGGTTCAACTTCTAAGAGCAAACGATCAGCAGACGATCGGGACCGTCGCGGAGTGTAAAATCGCAGGGCCCCGATCGTCTGAATGTCAAAGGCCGAAAATTAGCGATAGTTATATATGTAGGGATTCCACTCCTCAACACTAAGACCTACCCGCCCGACTCTCTAAAGGACTAAAGAGGTCTCTCTTCAGCTCAGCCAGGTTACCACAGCCGACGGATGCTTACGCAACCACTATCGTCGAAAATTTCATAGTCGGTGGAAGCTTTCGCCACCACAGTCACTGAAACCCACCCGGCTTTCGCTTTAGATTGACACTCTGCCAGCTACTCGTTCTCTAGCCTTAACTACTCTAGGCTGTCGCTACAAGACTCACTAGTTGATCAAGAGGCATTTAAGGAGATCCCCCATAACTCCTCAAGAATTCCTTAACGTCGCAGACAGGACAACATGATCAGCAGAGTCCTCTCAAGAGTTGGACAGCTGGATGTGCAGCCCGCAACTCGGAGTTCGAGCCTACCACGCCACACTGAGCAGCCTGTCGGTCTGTACCAGTCCTTGGGGGTCTTGTCCCCAGGTCGTGTTAGTCGTCAGACGTAGCTTTAGCCCTACTAAGTCCCGTGCAGGTTTGGTCACAGCAGCTCTATCCACATACACGGAGTCCCATCGACATGGATAAAAGTGACTCGATGCAAAAAGAGATGGCAGACTGACACGTCAGCAAGTACCAAGGTGAGTGTACATCCACAGGGTTTAGGGATAGGCCAGGGGCTTGACGAGAGTATACCGCTCCTTGCTCTGCACTCCAGCTTGGTCAACGCTGGTCAACACTGGGTCAAACTTCGCCGGTCAACACCAATCAACTCTCGATCAACGCTGGCCAATGCTAGGCTATGGCGGATCCTTCTCTCTCCTTCACCTAAAGGTTGGGTATGGCCGACTTCAACCTTCGCTTGCTGGCTATATCTTCTCTCACCTTCGTCACCTCCTCTCTCTCCCTCGTCTGTCTTCTTCTTCCTCCGAGCTCGGCGGCTAGGGCCGCCGTCCGCTATGGTGGACTGTCCTTTCTTCCTCATGAGTCTCCTTCTCTCTCTCTCTCTCTCTCTCTCTCTCTCTCTCTCTCTCTCTCTCTCTCTCTCTCTCTCTCTCTCTCTCTCTCTCTCTCTCTCTCTCNCTCTCTCTCTCTCTCTCTCTCTCTCTCTCTCTCTCTCTCTCTCTCTCTCTCTCTCTCTCTCTCTGTGTGTGTGTGTGTGTGTGTGTGTGTGCCGCTCAGCAGCTATGACGGCCTTCTTCTTCACAGCTCGCGTGGACAACGGGTACCAGCTCTTATACCAGTGAAATCAGACTGACACTCTAAACTCTCTTGCAACATGCATGCATGTATGTAGCGATGGCAAACCAACTTCTTCAACTCGGAATCAACAATGAACTTGCAATGGCGACTAACGCCCTATGGCCTCCGGCCAGAAACTCGGCTTAAGTCAACTGTACAACTTGCGGCTATGTCCGCTGAACACTGTCTCCACCACCAGCCTCACTCTCACTCATGTACGCACGTCTGAGGATCCACCCTGAATGTCCACACTACACACACATACACACACTGTACAAAATGTCTACGTCAGCAGCTGGGCGGCTATGGTCGCTGTCGGCTTCCTCCTCTCAGCTATGGTCATCGTCGTCATCCTCAGCCCAGCTATGGCTGTCATCTTCCTCAGCCCACTTCTTCCACGGGCACCTCCAGCACAAGTCGCTCCAGCAGCACTTCCGCAAGGCTCACAGGCGAATGAATGAAATGGCTGGGCACTGCCTCTTTATTTATACTGTTTCGCTGGTGGTCTGGCCTGCCATCGGTCCCAGGCCCAAACGTGTGAAGCCCCACCTGGTACTTGCTGACTAGACTAGGTAGGACTGGGACTGGGTACTGCTGACTGGACTAGGTAGGACTGGGACTGGGTACTGCTGACTGGACTAGGTAGGACTGGGAGACTGCTGACTAGACTAGGTAGGCTTATACACTGACCCCTACTGTCCTGAAGAGTCAACCAGCGGCTTCTAGAAACTCCCAGCTGGCTAAACTGACCCTTTGCTAGGCCTTAGAGCCACTTCCCACTTGCTGAGTCAGCTACGGTCAACTACCTTCTGGACGGACCTAGACTAAGGGCTGGACAACCCTCAGAGCTACTAATCCTGTAACGTACAGTTCAAGTCCACGTGACCGTAACTAAGTGAAAAACACACAGACCTCCGTTTTAAGGGACAGGTTGTGGGTTCAAGGCTCACATAGGGATACTGGGTCACTGTACAGGGTTACGGGGTAGGTCTAGGGATCAAGTCCTACAGTCTGCATCTTTCAGGTAAACTGGGTGAAACTGTTTCACACATGTCTGCCTGTACACTTTCATTCCATGCTGACAATATCTGGCCATGGTTGTTCACAAACAACTTTGTCATGCTTGTTCACAAGCAACTTTGCCTTTCAGGATATCACATGCTCAAATGAAACAGGGTCATCAAAGCCCGCTGGCGCTCACGCAACCATCTCTCAACCCACCAGACAGGCATTCCCCAGTTTCCTCAGTTCCCCCTCCATCTTCCGCCCCCTGCTGCGCCCCCTACACACACATACACAGAGGTGGGAGGGGGGTGGAGAGAGAGAGAGAGAGAGCAACCCGAGATGGAGAAAAAGGAGTCGACCCTCTTCCTCCCCCCCCCCCACACACACATACACACATACACGGAGGTAGGGGGGGAGAGACAGAGACAGAGACACAGACAGAGAGAGAGAGCAACCTCGGATTGGAGAAAAAGGAGTCATGTGAACAAGAGTAGAAATTAGCGGCGATCATCTTTGCAACGAATGACAAACGTGCATACAAGGCAACGGAATGTTATGTCTGCAAAAAAAGGCTATCAGCATTGGCCCGTGGGTGAGAGAAGACACACCGAGATTCTTTCGTTTTCTTTTCTTGTTTCATTTTCGTCTTCAGAAATGTTATTTTCTTTTCCTTTTCCCGTTCGTTTCATTTCCGTGTTTAGAACTTGATCCGCTTCCCAGGATGCTGGCTTTCACTTTCCTCCAAGCTTCCTGCTGCATATGGGGACTCTGACGGTGCTGATCTGGTGGATTCCTCTTTCTTCTTTTTTATTATCTGTTGAATCCGGTGAAGCTCGTTGTTCAGTTTCTGGTCTTTGTTCTTCCTCGTCTTCCTCCCGTCCGCCATTTTCACGCCAAATTGAAACGCAGCCTTCGGCATTGCCTCCTTAGCTTCGTTGTATTTGGACCATTCTTCTTCCGTGTCAAAGTCCCATCGATGCAGCCTTCCTTTCGCCTTCGCACCCATATCCATCTTGGTGAGATCTTCCTCATCATCGCTTTCGTCCATCACTTCTCTGTTGTACTCTTGGTAACCTGGGTAACATTCAGAGTAACTCTCAGAGATGAAGTTTGGATCTTTCTCTCTGGAATCCTTCTCCCTCATCCTTTGCAACCGCTGATCGTCGCGCTTGAAGACCGATCCCATTCCTCGGTCTTTCTCCTCCTGCGTCATCGATCCCATCTGCAGGCCTGCATCGTTTCCCGGCGTGGACATTCCCACTGCTGTCCCAAACTGCTGGTACGGGTCCTGCTTCCACCGCATGCCAGCAGTCTGATCAGCACCCCAGTGCACACCCGTCTCGTCCCCCACACCTCCCTCGTCCCTGCCCCATTCCTGCCATTCTCCGTGACCACCCCCTGCTGCCGCAGAACCCTGCATTCGCTCATGCGCATGGTCGCCCTCCCCGCCTCGGGATGGCCGCACACGGGGTGGCGACAAGCTGCGCCTTGGCGACTCATCCATTGACTCAGGACTATGTAGCGGCTGCCGATGCAGCTGGCGGTTCTGACGGCGATCCATTGCTGTCGTCACCGTGTAATCCTTCCCCGCTTCTTCAAAGATATCCTCACTGTCTTCCTTGCTGAGACTGGCATGCTGAGAACCGGAAGCAGGTTCGTGATGCTCCGACGAGGCCGCTGTCGCCTCGTCCCGTCCCTCTCTTCTCACTCTGCCATTCACGGGCTCGACAAACCTCTCGTCCGCAACAAGCTCTTCGGGTGCCAAGGATGGAATGCCCGCAATCAAAATCGTCTTGTCCTTGTCCTTCTTTTTCTTCTTCATCACTTTTCCTGACACTCCCAATCGAAGATACGACATGATTTTCGAAATGCGGTCCAGCACCATGCGGTCGACCCCTGCGACGAGTGTTTCCTGGGGTGGAGGGCAGTCCGCTTTGCTCCGATGTACCGTCGTTGGGATTTCATGGGCAAATTCCTCATCCATGTCAAACAAAAAGGCGGTGCGGCCCAGGAGGAACATTTCGTTTGGCTTCGAGTTGTGGTTGGGCTTAATGATCCATTTATAGACCGATTTACCCAAGGCAGTCCGGAAAGTCATCGACTTTTCCTCGCTCAACCTTTCCTTCTTCTTCTTGTCTCCAAAGTCTTCGTCTTCCCCGTCCCTCTTCCTCTCCAACTCGCTACGGACCTTCTGAAGCAGGGCATAGTCCAGACCCTTCACAAGATGGGTATGCTCAACGTCGCCTCCCAGAAACTTGCTGTTCTCAATAGAGATTCTGTGCGCATCGGAGGTCCGCAAATCGGTGGTCCCGGGTGGAGCCACGGCATGCAGTGACCCAAGCTCAGACATTGCCTGCTCATAATCCGGGTTCTGGTCTTCCCTCCTCTCCTTTGCTCGATCTCGATATGCAGGCAAGGCCTCCTCAGGCTTCTCCTCTTCTTTCGGCTTAGGCCAGACCTTCCGCTGCGCCCTCTTCTCTGGACTGTCGTCCGGCTCATCTTCACCCCGCTTGGACCGACTGCTTTTCTGCTTGCTCCTTTCGTCCCCCCCTTTCCTGGGCGTATCCATCACCATCCTGCGAAAGTCATCGTTGGACAGATTGCCAAACTTTGGAGGGGTGTCGTGCACCCCAGCGGCGCCACCCTCTTTGTCTTCCCTGTCCACCGCACGCGTCCGAGAGCCAGGAGGCCTCGGCGGCGGTGGGAGCGGATTCGATGCAGTGACACCCTCCTCCTGGTCCTCACTCATCCTGTCAAACTTCTTGCCACTCATTTTGCTGGTCCTGTGCGTTTGAAGATCCACACAGGAGGCTTCACTTCTCAAGCCCTTCCTCCCTCCCTACCTCCCTTCTCCTGTCACTCGATCTCTCCTCTGATAACCAAACGACAAGAACACTGCAGCCGTTTCACACACCTACCCTCCTCCCATCCCTCTCCCAGCACCGCAGCTAACTGCTGCTCCTGTCAAATCCCGGAAGATCCAACCATAAGACCACCACAATTATCGGGCGATCAGCGCCTCGGGACGATATCTTCTTCCAAAATGCTCATCATCATAAGCATTACATAACAAACAGGTGACATACAGCGAACCGAAGTCGTCCCCTTGCCCACAGGGATTGCACCCCAGCCACGTAACTGCCTGCTTGCCTTTGCCAATCCGACCACAGTTACTCCTTATGCCACGTCCGTCTGATCGAACCAAAGAATCCGACGGCTGCAAGTTAGCACCAACATCCCAACCACAATGCCAAGAGAAACATAACGAATAACTAACGAACACAGCGTTGGCTGATTAGAGCAAAATAAATAAATAAATAAAATAGGAACGGACGAACAACGTAGCTACTACTTACTATGTCTCTTCAAATCGGGCCATCGTCCAATCAAAGCAATCGTCCGCTACTTTCTGCTCCCGCGTAAGGTCGTGAAGTTGGAAGTGCATCTTCACGCAGCAGAGGCTGACAAAATGCACATACCAGCCTGGCGCGTCTGCCCGATAGGATCCCAACGTCCACAAATCTACTCGAAGTCTCAAACGCAATCAATGCAACGTTGCCCCAACACAAACGTGGCATACGTCCGCCGCACGACCTCTGTTTGGGCCTAGTTGAACCACTCGCCATCCTCCACAGAGTGTATGTCCAGATGCATTCACAACCTTAGCGGATTGCGAGTGGTGCAACTAGGCCTTTTGTTTGGTTGAGAAGATTAGCGACAGGCTTCCGCCGCACCACCTCTCTTTGGTTGAGAAGATTTGCGACTTCCTTCCCCATCTCACGATTCAAATGGATCGCATCATCATCGGGAAGAATTGGATCAGCCTCGGGAACAATCGAATCGGCAAGAAGATCCGCCATGGCAGCGGAAGCATGTCCCTCGCTAAGCTTCTCCACCAAAGAGAGAGAGAGAGACAGAGACAGAGAGAACAAGAGGTCATGCACAATAAGACCGGGCCGTGAAGGCGCGGAGGAAAGGCGGATAAGCTGCGGAGGAGGGGCGGAGGAGCAGAGAAGCTGCAGAGGAGGGTGGGAGGAGGGGAGGAGCAGAGAAGCTGCGGAGAGGGGGCGGCGGAGGAGCGGGGTAGGGGCGGAGAAGGGCCGGAGGAGGGGCCGAGCAGGGGCCAAGGAAGAGCGGAGGTGGGGAAGAGGAGCGGAGGACGGGCGGAGGAGCGGAGGAGCGGAGGAGTGGGGAGGAGCGACGGAGGCGCTGAGGACGGGCGGAGGCGGAGCGGAGAAGCTCCGGAGGAGATGGGCGGAGGCGCGGAGAATGAGCGGAGGAGCGGGGGAGGAGGGGCGGATGAGCGGAGAAGCTGCGGAGGATGAGCGGAGGAGTGGGACGGAGGAGGAACGGTGAGCAGCGGAAGAGGCGCGGAGGATCAGCGGAGGATGGGCAGAGGAACGTAGGAGGCGCGGAGGAGGAGCGGGGGAGGCGGGGCGAAGGAGGAGGAGCGGAGGAGCCTCGGGAAGTTGCGGAGGGGGGCGGACGAGGAGCGGAGAATGTGCGGAGGAGGGGCAGAGGAGGGTCGGAGCGGAGGAGCAGCGGAGCAGCGGCGGAAGGGGCGTGGAGGATTAGCTGAGGAGGGGCAGAGGAGCGGCGGAGCAGTGAAGGAGAATGAGCGGAGGAGGAGTGGAGGAGCAGCGGAGAAGAGGCATGGAGAAGCTGCGGAGGATGAGCGGTGGAGGAGGGGAGGAGGTGTGGAGGATGAGAGGAGGAGGTGGGCCGGCGGAGCGAGCGGAGGGGCAGAGGAGCGGGAAGCTGCGGTGAAGGAGCGGGGGAGCGGGGGAGGAGGGGCGGAGAATGAGCGGAGGAGCGGTGGAGGAGGGGCGATGGAGCGGAGAAGCTGCGGCAGATGAGCGGAGGGGGGGCAGAGGAGGGGCAGAGGAGGGCTGGAGGAGCTGCGGAGGAGCAGCAAAAGAGGCAAGGGCAGAGGAGCGGAGGAGGCGCGGAGAAGAGCGGAGGAGGCGTGCAGGAGGAGCGGAGGCACGGAGGAGGAGCGGGGGAGGCGGGGCGAAGGAGGAGCGGAGGAGCCGCGGAGAAAGTGCGAAGGGGGAGCGGAGAAAGAGCGGAGAATTTCCGGAGCAGGAAGGGCAGCGGGGGAGCAGCGAAGGAGGATGAGCGAGGCAGGAGGGGTGGAGGCGCGGAGGAGGAGCGGAGGGGAGGAGCAGCGGAGGAGAGGAGTGGAGAAGTTGCGAATGATGAGCGGTGAAGGAGGGGCGGAGGCATGGAGGATGAGAAAATGAGGTGCGGCAGCGGAGCAGAGAAGCTGCGGAGGAGGCGCAGAAGATGAGCGGAGGAGGACCGGAGGCACAGAGGAGATGCGAGGAAGAGCGGGGGAGGGGGGGCGAAGGCCCGGAGGATGAGCGGAGGAGGGCCGGAGGAGCGGGAAGCTGCGGAGAAGGAGCGGGGTAGGAGGGGAGGAGCAGCGGAGGATGAGCGGAGCGGACGATGAGCGGAGCGGACGATGAGCGGAGCGGACGAGGGGCTGAGGGGCTGAGGGGCTGAGAAGCTCTGGAGAAGGAGGGGGGGAGGAGGGGAGGAGCAGCGGAGGATGAGAGGGGGATGAGTGGGGTAGGAGGGGTAGAGGTGTGGAGGGGTGGAGGCGCGGAGGATGAGCGGAGGAGCAGTGGAAGAGAGGTGTGGAGAAGCTACGGAGGATGAGCGGGGGAGGGGGAACGGAGGAGCGGGTGAGCGGAGTGGGACGGCGGACTCTCTCTCTCTCTGTGTGTGTGTGTGTGTGTGTGTGTGTGTGTGTGTGTGTGGAACGGGCGGGTGGAGTCGTCGGGGACGGGGGCGCGGAATAGCGGAGTCGGGTGGTGGAAGAGGCACGGAGGTGAACGGAGGCTGGACAAAGCGCGGAAACGGGCGGAGGGTGAGTGGCGCAGGGGCGAGGGCGGAGGGAGGGCGCAGCTCGGTGGGCGGAGGCACACAGACGGGGAGAGAGAGAGAGAGAGAGAGAGAGAGAGAGAGAGAGAGAGAGAGAGAGAGAGAGAGAGAGAGNCTGGTAGAACCGGGACTTTTGGAAAAACGAAGGACCCTGTCTCTTATACACATCTAGATGTGTATAAGAGACAGGTTGGACTGCGCTCGGTGAGAGGAGCCAAAATCCGCAGAGAAACTTGTGAAAGGGATGTGTGTTGGGGGAAGAGGGGGGGGGGGAGGGAAGGAGTGGGGAGGGGAGGGAGGGGGAGGAAGGAAATACTGACCTGCGTCCCCCATCGCGGCGACCGCTTCGAATGGCCACCAGAGCCCACGGATGACAGACCACCATAGCTCACCACAGTCCCCTGACCACCCAGCCCATGGACCCCGACAGGCCCCGAGCACCACAGCTTACAGTCCACCGGAGGGAGATGCACACAGACACAGAGAGAGAGAGAGAGAGAGAGAGAGAGAGAGAGAGAGAGAGAGAGAGAGAGAGAGAGACGCAACAGCACCCAAAAGGGAGTCCACCTTGTACGACAGCGCGCTGCACGACGAGCGAAGTTCCTAACAACAACCAATGGAGAACCACAGCCGAAACAGACAAATGCATGTACGGCAACAACATATGACAAAACCCTGCCGGTAGGTACCGGGCCAAGAAACCCTACCGGTAGGGACCGCGCCGAGAAACGGCCCTCGGGCAAACCGGCTCCCAGCAAAATCTGCGATCTAGGGCGGGGGGTCCTACCGATCAACGGTCCTGATCGGGGCGAGGTCAAGAGATCCGGTAGGACCCGACGGCCCAGATTGCAGATTTTGCTGGGAACCGGTTTGCCGAATCAGCGCGTTCCCTACAGGGGGTTTCTTGAAGCGGTATTACATGTGCCCGACAATCAAGGCCGTCAGCCGATAGGAGCGACGACGGCCTGGATCACAGGACAAGCAAAATCTGTGATCTCGGCCGTCGGGTCCTACAGTCCGCATTGGCGCACAGTCCGTCGGTCCTATCGATCGACGGTCTGGATCGGCACAAGGTCTTAAGATCTTAAGCCACCAGTACCTCTCCCTCCTTGAGGGAATAAACGCGGCCGTTAGCGCGCCGCATCGAGCGGGGTACCCACCGGCGTGCGACCGGTAGTCCCCAAAAAACGGGCCTGAAAAAAAAAAAAAAAAAAAAAACGACGACGAAAATGAAAAGTAACATCCTACAACAAACAGGCGCGGCGGGCGGGGAAGGGGGGGAAGAACG